ATGCAGTGGAACGCACAGAGTTTACGACCTAAGCTAGAGGAGGTTAAATGTTTATTATTACAAGAGAAAGTACATATAGCATTAATTAGCGAAACTTGGCTGGATGAGAGGGTATGTGTTAACTTTAATCCATATAACATTTATAGACGCGATAGAAGCGACTCTTATGGTGGCGTAGCCATTATATCACATAATTCAGTAAACGTTCAGGAACTAAATATTAATGTGAATAATTCAGGGATCGAGTTGCTGTGTATTAGGATAAATAACTGTAGTTATGTGAGACATATAATTTTGATATATTGTCCTAGTTCAGTTCATACAACACAGTCAGATTGGGATAATATTTTTTCTATGTTCCCAAAACATTGCTTGATTGTTGGAGATTTTAATGCTCATCATACGAGCTGGTCGTACAAGACTGATAACAGGGGTAAACAGATTTCTGAATCGGCAATTGAATTTGGATACACATCACTTAACAATGGACAGCCAACTAGGATTAAATTAGTTAATAATATCCTACAAAGGTCCTCACCTGACATTACATTTGCATCCACAGACATAGCTGTTAATTTTGACTGGCAGGTTTTTAACGAAAGTTTAGGAAGTGATCACTTATTTGTTAAAGTTCAAGTAACGTATAGGGAGCGAATCAACTTTGATAAAATGCGAAATTATAAATTGGCTGACTGGAATAAATACAAACAATATCTTGTGGATTGCTTTTCTGGTCCTGTACCTGACAATGTTCAGGTGTCGTATGACGACTTTATCAATAAAATAAATAGGGCAGCTGATGAAATTATTCCTTTTATTAAAACGTGTAATAATCCAAATAATAATTTTAGACCAAAGGGGTACTGGAGTCCAGATCTTTCGAAATTAGTTGGTGAACGTAGGCTGGCTTTACGTAATTTTAGAAGAAATCCAACACCCCTAAATTTATCAATTTATCAAGAAAAAGCTATTAAGGCTAAACGAGCTATTCAAACGGCTAAGTCAAATGATTATAAGAAGTTCTGCGAAAGTATCAGTGATAGGGTGTCAGCGTCTAACATGTGGCGTCGATTAAGTTGGGTGAAAGGCTATAAAAAAGCCAGATGTAATTTTTCTGAAGAAATACAAAAAGAAATGTTATGTGATCTGGCACCTGATTACGTTGTTCCTTCTATGCCATTATTTAAGTCTAGAAATATATTATTAGAAACTGATTTTACACTACAAGAAATGAATCACTGTTTGAAGAAAAAAGACACCGCTCCGGGCGAAGACAAGGTTACTTACTCCATGATATTACAGTTACCAATGGTAGGAAAATTGTATTTAATTAGAATTTTTAATATGATATTAAATTCAGGCGATGTTCCATTCCAATGGCGCGATATTAGAGTTATTCTAATTCCAAAGTCAGGTGATAATCTAGGTAGCAAACCAAGACCTATATCCTTGATATCGTGCACTTGCAAAATTTTTCATGCTATGATTGCTAAAAGACTTGAATGGTATGTTGAAAGTAATCAAATTTTGTCTCCATATGCAACGGGCTTCAGAAAGGGTCAATCTGCACTTGATTGTGTGACACGTTTAGTAACTCAAATTCAGATAGGATATTCAAAAAATTGTCACACTCTTGCTTGCTTTATGGATATCAAAAGTGCGTATAATAATGTAGTAATTGAAAAATTATTAAGCCTTCTAGACATTCTAAATGTTGGTAAAAAGTTATGTCATTATCTATGGAATTTCCTAAGTGAGCGACATCTAAAGATATCTAATAACCATGTAGGAGGGGCGGACATGATAAGATATCTAGGAAAAGGTTTAGCTCAAGGTGATCCCCTGTCACCCCTACTTTTTAACATAGCAACTTTTAAATTTTGTCAAGACATTACTAATGTGTTTATATGCCAATACGCCGATGACTTTGTATTATATACAACATATAAATATATTTCAGAAGCCCAGGATAAGATTCAAAACGCCATAAATAGTTTCATAATTTTATTGGACGAGTTGGGTTTGGACTTATCAATTAGCAAATCTAAATATTGTATCTTTAGTAGAGGAATTAAGAGACAACAAACACAATTATTAGTAAAAGATATTGAGCTTGAATTAGTGGATAATTATAAATATTTGGGGGTTTGGTTTGACAGGAGATTACTTTGGGGTAAACACATTAACGAAGTCACGGAAAAAGTTCAAAAGCTAATTAATTTACTGAAAATTCTAGCAGATCCTTCTTGGGGCATACATCAGATTCAGTTACGTAGATTATACATTGCATTAGTCAGAAGTAGGTTAGACTATGGTTGTTTTCTGTACGATAACAGTGCAAAATCAAACATTTATAAGCTACAAAAAGTCCAAAACCAAGCTTTAAGAGTGATGGGGGGGTTCATAAGAACTACTCCAATTCACGTGATGGAGTGTGAGCTCTGTGTTTTTCCACTGCATTTAAGAAGAAGATGGTTAGCATACAAATATTGTCTAAAATGTCGGTCATTATCAGATAACATAACAATTAAATTACTCTCAGAACTTAGTGATTTTAGACACATCAGTTATTGGGCTAATAAGAGGCTTCCATTACTTGTCAGTATTCTTGAGGAGATTAAGTGCGAGCCAATTAAATCATCCCCCCTCTTAGAAACCTTTTCTCTAGACACTTGGGTAACCAATATTAATATTCAAAATATAATAAAATCTAATTTAGACGCAATTGAAAATTCTAAAAATAAATATGAACTGAACCAAATTAAAAATATAACTTTAAGCGAAATACATGAAACTTATCGTGATTATTATATAATTTACACTGATGGGTCTAAGAGTGCTAATGGCGGAGGAGCGGCTTTTTATGATCCTTTGAAATCGAAAACCACTACTATCACTTATTTTAAAATTACTAATTATATATCAATCATGACATTGGAACTCTTTGCAATTTCAGAAGCCCTTACTTATATCGAATCGAGTGACAATAAGAAAATACTAATATGCGTAGATAGTCAAAGTGCTCTTCAACACATAGCTCGATGCGCCTCTGGATACAGAGGTGCACCGATAGCTTATGACATTCTGTCTAAAATAAGCAGGTTTTATAATAGAGGGGTCGAGCTGAAGTTGCAATGGGTGCCAGCTCACATAGGCTTAAAGGGTAACGAGGAGGCTGATCGATTGGCTAAGTTAGGTATCATTAGTGGTACAGAAAGAAATATCAAAATTAATTATGAAGAATTATTACCTAAATATAAAAAAAAGTGTCATGAAATTTGGAAAGAGTATTATAATCAGAATTCGAGAGAAAAGGGAATATGGTATAAGACTATAGTATCGGAGCCTCCTCATATACCATGGTTTTCCAACACCGGACTCAATAGAAAAATTACTGTAATCGCCCACAGGTTGAGATCTGGACATATTCCGCTCAATGGGTTTGGATTCTTGATGAAAAAACTGAATTCACCAAACTGTGAGGTTTGTGGTACTTTAGAGGATGTGACACACTTATTGGCGGAGTGTGTCAGATTTCAATCTGAAAGGGAATATCTGATGAAAGAGTTAAATATAAATAGTATTAATGTTGGTATGTTCCACCACATATTGTCTGCGCCGACTTCAAAAGCCGCCTCTAGCCTTTGTAAGTTCGTATCACTAAGATTTGTTTAAATTTAATTAGATTGTAATGTAACAATCTGTATGAGGTACGATGGGACCGACATGTACGAATGTATAAAGTCCCTAAAAATAAATAAAGAGAAAAAAAAAAAAAAAAAAAAAAAAAGTTCTAATAGACTAATAATGTTAATTACTTAAGACTAGTTTGTATACGCAAATATATATTAATTGTGTGATACTACGGCCTCACAGAAAAACGGTGTTGCAATTTTAGGGTTGTTTTTTACCGATTGAGTAAGAACCCCCGTCCTCTTCTCCCCTTGATTCTGGGGAGGAACTCAAAGGGCGAAAAAGAACGCTGTGCCTCTTAAGGTACAGGTGTCCATGGGCGGCGGTAGTCACTTACCATCAGGTGACCCGTTTGCTTGTTTGCCTCCCTATGCCATAAAAAGAAACCTAAGTTTTTGTTATGCAACGTTTAAACTAAAAACTATTTCGGTGGTAACGGATTAAGAACATTCGGTGTGGTAACGGATTAAAAATACGGAGTCTCACCACACCTGTTCATCCCGCGGGTGTCGTAAGAGCTGACTAAGAGAGCAAACTACGCAGGAAAGAGAAGGAGAACTTGACACAAACCCTATATCAACTCGTCTGGCCAGCGTGGTATAGTAGGCCAAAACCTTCTTCTAAGCAGTGGACTATTAGAGGCTTTTGATGATGATTATTAAAGTTTAAACTGAAGTAGTAAATTAAGACTATATTTATTTATTGTTCATGCTATTGTCATGATTTGTAAACTCGATATTATTCATGATTATTAGTAGCATGTCTTTATGTCATTGCTTTTTATATCACGATATAACTTGGCAATACGAGTTGAATAAATAATATCAATAACTAGACTAACTGTATTTAAAAAGAATAATCTACTGATTCGAAATGCTGAAACTGTAATCGTTTTGATATTTTGCTTTTGGGTTGATGTTTGTGCATTTTTACACGCTAGGGATGGAACTTGAAGTATAATAAAAATATTTAGTACATCTGGAGGAGCTTGTACTATGATTACACCCAAACTCTGAAACAAATATTTGCAGATCATACAAACATTTGGCCATAATCGGTAATCGAACCCGAAACCTCAGCACAGTTGCACACGCTACCACTGCACCACCGGGGCAGTATGATAATATATATAAGTAGCCATTAAAAACTAATTTAGTCGGGTGTCAGAGGTTTAAAAAAACATGTTTTTGGAATTATGGAATTTACGTCATTCCTATTTTTTGCATTAGGTATTTTTAATGGCTCAGTTATGTGGGCAATGTCCTTCAATTTCCGCCAAATTTCAGTAAATTCCATCCAGAATCGAAATGAAAACCTTTGACAAACCGACTAATGTACTTGTTCGTCTAGTGATTAGCGAACCTAAAAGTCAGAGATCTTTGGTTTGGTTCCCCCGGCAATGGGCTTGCCCCATTCTGTAAGTGTTTTAACCGTGGTAGAGCTGTGGGCTGATTCCGAAATAATACCACGGCCTTTCAGAAAACCAGTGTTAAGTAATCCTTTCGTTCCTTTTCACCGAGTGAGCAAGTTTACCGCAGGGCCAAACCTAATTCTGGCGACACTCATAGGGTAACTTATATATCTTCATTTACGAGTGTCTATGGCCAGAGGGAGTCTCTTACCCGTCTAGTCGCTTGCCATCTATTTCATATAAAAAAGTGGGACCTAAGTTATAGAAAGCAAACTGTACGCCTCTAACCAAATGTTTGTATGATCTGCAAATGCTTTTTTCGGAGTTTGGGTGTTTTGATGTAAAATGTATCATATTTATTTACAAAATAAAAGTATATTAATTTATATTCTATCAACATTCTATCAGTGAATCTACCTTTCATACTACAAACTCTGCTTAGTTTGAAACTAGATGGCTAGTCTAGTGTTTTCAGATATCCGAAATATATAAATATATAACTTCCTCTTATATCGTAATAATGCAATCACCATTAAATATTTAATTACTTTACTTTCCAGGTTGCCTCTTCCTTGGCTCCTTTACGGGGTAATCTACGGTGAGCCTGTCCAAGTAAACTCCAAAGGCATGGTCTGCAGCATCGTGCTACTCTTTGCCATGTTAATCTTCGTGATCATCAGCATCGCCTGCTTCAGGTGGAAGATGAACAAAGGTCTCGGCTTCACCATGTTCCTTCTGTACTTTGTCTTCGTTGGAGTCAGTCTTTCGTTAGAATATGGCTACCTACACTGTCCAAGCGAATAGACTGTTCTGGGCTTCTGATTTTAAATTAAGTATTGATGCTTTTTGGATGAAAGGAGTCTAGGAAGCAATTTGATACTGGCTGTTTGTTTATGGTTAAAAAAGAAGAATGATATAAAAAAGGTAAAAGTAGAAGGTTGAATAGCATTTACAATACTGTTAAAGATAGCTAGAGTTTCTTTTTTAGAGAACTTATTTTTTATAATGTTAAATTTGGTTTGCGAATAGTCAATAACTTTAAATGAACAGCCGTTATTAAAATTGATACTGCCAGCAGTTGCAAATTATTTGTTTGTCAATATAGTAATTATTATTCAAATTGACGGTATGGGTGAAGAAATTTTTTTCAGTGTCATTTTTTTTCATTTGGTGATTACCCATTTCTTTATAATGTGAAATAACAATCAACAATAATAACTTATATTAAGAAAAACATAATATCATTTGACTAAAATTTTATAATCCAATTTCGTTGTGAAAGGTAAAAATTATTCACTTGCAATAATTCGATAAAAATATTTATAAAAATTGTGTATTTCTAAATTATTTATGACGATGGCATACAAGGCCAAAAAAATCCTGACGTCAAATAATTTTATACTTATATGGGTAATAATTATCTAAATGATTAAAAGATGGCGGTAATGAGGAAATTATGTAGGAAAGCGATGTTAAATAAGAGAGTTGATTTAGCGTTGTGAGTTTAGTTTTATATTTTAGTTCTAGAACAAATAGTACAGCACTAAAATATTGCTCAATAATATTTATTTATTTCATAGTTATCTTGCTATATGGTTTTATTTAGAAATTTTTGATGGGATGCTTGTTTTAATAAAAACGAACGGTTTTAATTGATATGATGAGGGGCAAACACGAGCACCAATAAAATTAAGACAGTAGAAATAATAAAGAAAATTAAATTCCTATGAAAATGCAATAAAGATGAAGCTTCTACGATTCTATAAAATATAAGATTTTTCATTGTACAATATTGTGACACGGTACATTTTGTATCTGTTAATATTTAGCCATGTTAGAAACTGTAGTTATTTATATAAATGTTAGTTGTTTAATTCGCTTTTACAATGTTTTAGTGTAAACTTCTTTAATATTAATGTACGTATTTGTTTGTATAATATATAGTTATACGAGTTTGGGTTAATTGTTGATTTCTTTCTTTTATAACTGGTCGGTCAAGGTGACCGTCGGTCCATCTCAATTGTTTGAATTTAATGTATCATGAAATGAAAGACATTTCGGTGTTAATGTGTGTCGGTCGCACAAAATGCTAGTATGTATATACACGAGTAGAGAATGGGGGAGAAAGAGCGGGGCAAATGTAATAATATAATAAAAATCTCATTCCATAAAATGTGCCTAAGAGTTAAAAGAACTCAATAACATTTAGCTTCGATTTTTAAAACAGATAACAACATTTTTTTCACTTTATCACCTAGTGATTATCTGTGGACGCATCTGTCCCGCTCTAAAAAATTGTAGTTAGAGTTAACATTATATCTCTCTTGTAAATGTAACGAATTATTCCAGCTCCTTCCTCTGTTCTTTAATATCGACATAAGACAAAAAAAGGAATAAAAGATCTGTCAAATGGTCAATTCTTTAAGTAACAGTTAAATTTTAAGAATATCTTCGTCTTTTCCTTCTTCTAAAAAGGCACGGTTCGACAAATTCTTTACTTCTTGAAACATCTTTATAACCGTCCATAGATTCTGTTTTAAATTGTATTTCTGCCTATGCACTCACGTTACCTTCGTAACGCAATACTCATGAGAAAAAAAAAACTTAATTTAAATGATAATAAGTTCAATTGTTGATATCCCACGAAAAATTTTATATTGATAACCCGCCTATTTGACATAGCAATAAATAGTCTAGAATAGATAGTTAAATATATATGGGTAAGCTTTATGACTTCAGACAGTGCGTCGTTACAATGTTGAGTATTTTGTCACAATTGTTAAACTTCTTAGAGACAGAACGGCAGAAGTTCGAGAAGAAAAACATTAAAAAGTAACAAAAATGTAAATTTAGATACCTAGTTCTTTAATTTCAAAGTCCTCTTCATCGCTAAACATCATCCTACATAATACAATACGCACAAACACTCCATTTTTCTTTTAAATAATCGCTTCGTAAAATGTCAGGTTTAGTTAATTTTTCTTCATAAGAATATAATGTAGGTACTGTATTCAATATAAAGCTGAGAATTTATTAATATGAAACATTTGTACGACTTAAAGAATAAATATTGGTCCTTACTTCAAGGCTCAAAGATCGTACAGTTATAAAATATGCAGGCATAACACTTAGTTATACAGTGGTATGTATAACACTTTTTTGCGAAATATAAGTGTCTTTTTGTATAAACGCTTTTGCTACAATAAACTTTATTTAAAATAAAAATGTAGCCCAAAATTATTGGTCTAAGAGCCCGCTGCATTCCTACGTTCATCGAGTATTCAATCAAAATTAAAATTTTCAATCAGTTATAAAGGGAGGATATGATTTGGCCGGGTTTCCTATTAAAATGTGCCTTAAATTAATATCAATTGACTTTTGGGAAGAAATTTCGTTTACCTGGTTACCTTTTCAAGTTATCTACAGATATCTATGTAGTAGATTACAGTTCGTTTAATTAACAAGTAAACGAAATTTATTACCAAAAGTCAACAACCATTAATTCAATTCAAAATACTAGCGGGCACATTTTAATAGGCAACCCGGCCAAAACATATTCCCTCTTTTATAACTGATTTAAATAATAAGAGTTTCATTGAATATTCGATGACCGTAGGATTTCTGCAGTGGGATCAAATACTATATTTTCATAAAATGTGGGTATCTTACCTCTGAGACGATAAATTTTCTTACTTTAATTTTCTTCCTATAATTATTTTCACTGCGCAAAATCATACATACTGCGCCGACCCCAAATAAAATTGGGAAAAGGGTAGGCAGATGATGAGTTATTTTCACTGACACAAAGGCTTAAATCGATTAAAAGGTTACCGGAAACTATATGTTACAAAATAAAATTTCATTGCTGAAAACGATTGTATATACGTTTATGTATATTGATTATATTATTTTAACATACATTATGTATATGATACGCCTGCTATATATATATATGAGATTTTCCTACTTCTTTTAACTTGACATCAGCTAGTAAAAAGTATGAAAGTAAATACACTAGAAAAAATAACGTTAAATGAAGTATTTTTTTTTTCATGTAATGGTTATCAAATGTTTCATATTATTACTGGATCTTCACAAAAATAACGTTAATATAATAATGGTACATAAGTACATATCGGTGGTAATCAGACATCGTTTAGGTCATAATCTGTGATAAGGACATGCTTATGACGTATACATATATAAATATATTTAAATCGACTCTCTTCAAGTTTTTCATATAGTAATTATGTATGTATAAGCTTGAATTTGATAGCCTTCTGTAGTTCGCTTAGCTATGCCACTACTACACAGTTACCAATACCTGTTATATTCTGTGTTCATATTCGATACGATTCTGAAATTCAATTCTCAACTTCCAATCTGAAATATCAGTATTTTTTAAAGTATTTTTCAATAGTCGGAAAATACTTTTCAAAATACTGATATTCACGAATTCGAGAACGTGATGGCTGTCTTAGGGACGTAAAGGCCATTTGGTACATCATCCAATGTATTGATGATTGATTGTCTTTTACGCCCGTCCAGTCTGCCTCTGTCTATATTTCACTCGTATATAATGCAGTGACGTTCAAGCAAGTAGTCCAAATGTTTATTCCTAAAACAAAAAGCTTTTAAAATAAATACATAATTATAAGAACCACTGTTAGTTTATAGGCATAATCTAAACACAGTGGTTGGAAACTTTTATAAAATTTAAACAGTTCAAAGTGATTTTTGAAGTCTTTAACGTGGAATGCACAACCATTGCGTATTATGATCGTATTTATTTTGTTAAATTACGATACGATTCTTCTAATTAAAGGAATAAAATTTAAGATTTACTTTATTTAATTAGTCGTTACTTAAAATCTCCACTTTCAAGACACTTTTTTAAAACACAAATATTCCATTATTCTCTAAATAATTTAATATTTAAAATAATTATATTATGTATTTTTAATTTTAGAACTACAGTATTTTTAATTTCAAGAACGTTACTGTTTTAAATATATACTACTGAAATCTTTATCTTGAATTATATCAAATAACAAAAATATATCCCAAAGTAAGCACGACAACACTCTGAGAATGAAAACTGTACGACGTAGTGGCCACTCTATAAAAAAATAAGGATTTGAAACTTTAAATATTACTTCGATTCGATTTGAACATTTCTTTACGGTAATACAAAGCTAGATTGTAGTGTATTACTCAAAATATCCTTAAAATTATCTGACGCACCAAGTATCAAAAGTACATTATGCCAATAATGAAGATTCCCATAGATGAACTGTTTAAAAAGTTAATAAAAAATACCTTAACCTACCAAATTTTTAATTATCTATGACAATGGCTGCTGTATTTTTTTAGAATTCATTTTCATTTAAATGAAAGTGGCAATACATATTGCTCGAGAAAATAGAACAAAAAGGAATTGAATGTTTTGAATTTATTAACAAGAACGATAATTAGATCTATCATAATGCTTTTTTTTTTGCTTTCATATTAATACGTTAAGATAGTTTAGTCCAGTCGTTCCGATTATTTTCATTTTTTTTATATTTATATGCATACAGAACATCTTTGGGAACCCCTATAAAAATCCATGCTATTAAATTATATACTACATATACACTAGATTTCTATCTATCTCTGATATTAAGTAATTAGTATTTGTAAATTAACCGATCTTCCACATTTTTTTTGATGCGTTAGTTATTGAACTGATTAAGACTTATAATCATATCACCTGAGTCTACTTAATTGACAGGACATTGTAAAAAGAGGCAGAAGGTCGCGGC